TCCCCCAAATTCCCCACACACTTCCTTTAGCTTATTAACGAAAAGAGGGTGACATGTCCTTATAATTAGATTTATGTGACTTTCTTACGTTCTTTAAGATAGGGATTTCCATTCAATCCCTGAACAAACTCAGGAAGAGTTCTGCTGAGAAGAAAGGAAAGGGGGAGGTTGGCTGTTGGGGATGCAAGAAATAGTGCCTCCAGCAGGAAGTCTGTGTAGTCACTGAAAGAATGGGGTATACCTAATTATCATGGATATGTGTACTTTATAAAGACCACTGTGAAGGGGAAAATAAACCTATAAAAACACAAACTCACTGGCCTCCCAGTGGAAAAATCATTAACCATCTGTTAAGTAAACCCATGGGTATACTCATCTTGGAGGAAGCTACATAGAGTTGGGTGTGCGAAAAGCCATTCCATCACATATCAGCCCCTGCAGGTCAGGACGTCTCTTGGTTTTAAAGCGGTGTTTATCCCTCTGTGCAATGCATAGGGAATGTCTTTCCCAACCAGCAGCCCTGTGGGTCTGTTTCAGCTACTTTAGATGGTAAGCACTTACTGCTCTCTTGACTTGTGCCCTGGGGCCTCAGTGTAACTTTTGTGTATGAGACAGAGCCACTGTTTTGTCAGATCATGACAGATGTCCTCACTACATTTAGTGAATATTGTCCAGCCACTTACAAATGATGTAGTAAAAGTAGCAAAAGAAAACAAAACAGGCAGTACTATCAAGAGAAGTAAGTCATTATTTCTGGGGAGGTACCAAAGTGTTAAGACGGGTTACCCTTAGGGATTGGGATTTGGCAAGGAAAGGGAATGAAAGAGATGTTCCCTTTTATTTTGTAACTTCTATGTTTTTAAAATGTTTTTCACAATGAACACTTACTACTTTGGTAATTGTTAGGTGGCCTGGGCCCAATTCTAGACCCACTAAATCAGAATATCAAGGGGTCAGGGCCTGGGCAAGTATATTTATTAAAATCTACAGAGATAATTCTGATACACAGACAGATTTGAGAACCACAGATTACATTTACTGTCTCATGAAATGCTTTGTTTTGAGGACAAAACATTTGTATTTCCTATATTCTTTCATTTCTGTAACAAGACATATTTGGGGGGGGGGTACAAAAAACACCAACAGTGCATCGGCAACCAAAGGCTGTAGGTAATTAGTGGCATGTCGATATCCAGTCATATCCTGTACTTCAGATTTGACATTTCAGTTTCCATTATGAAGGAACTCTTTAGAATGACTTATCTCTCTTGATAGAATTGCCTGTTTTGTTTTCTTTTGCTATTTTTAGTACATCATTTGTAAGTGGCTGGACAACGTTCACCATATGTAGTGAGGACATCTGTCATGATCTGACAGAACAGTAGCTCTGTCTTACACACAAATGTTACACTGGGGCCCGTTGTTGAGGCACAGAATCCTCGTGAAACTGCTCTGTAGGAAATAGGTAAAGCTTTCCTTTCTTCAGAAAAATGTATCCATATGTTTTTTATTTTAATTTCTGTCTTTTTTGACATTTTTACAATACTTTATTTTCAAAAAACAACAGTATTTTTAAGTGGTAGAAATCAAACTGTGGTACTTACTATCAGTGCAATTTGGCCTTTAAAATTGTTTAAAATAAAGTATCTGGTACCTATTGATCAGTAAGTACATTAAAATAAAGTATCTGATACCTATCAATCAGTCAGTATGTTGTGTAATTCACATCTAAACTGCTGTGGTAAGAATTTTTAAAGTGAGGATTAAAATTTTTTCTGAAATAAGGATTATTTTTGGTTTATTTAAAATCAACAAAATTAAAAGCATTAAAATTTAAAATGATAACAATGTATAAAGACTAACACCATAAACTTTATAATTTAAACATGTAATTTGAAGCAACTACTGTTTCTCATTCATTCAACAAATGTCTCTCTATAATTCTGTCATCCTATTGATCAAGATTGCCCAAACTATTGAATGTAAAATCTACCTTTGTTTTATTTTATTTTGAATTAATGAAGTTTTATATTAATATATATTTCCATAAAGTACACTATACTCAGCTGTTAAACATTATTTTTTTTTACATTCCTTTGCTCATTATTTGTCTTTTAAAGTTCATGTCATTTTCACGCTAAATAAAGGCTGTCAATGCAGTTCGACTAATATATTTATAAAAACAAAGTAAGTTTTGATGCTGTATTGCATGACAAAAGCTTTCTGCATATAATTCATGTTACTGTCTTGAGCATGAATCAAAAGATTTTAGATAGGCTTAATATTACTTTGGTGTGCTTTCAAAGTTAATATAAAATAGCTAAACTGAGTATATTTAAAGACTAAATTGCATGTTAATGTCTTTTTGTACATACTTTATATTTTCTTGAGTATAGATAAAGATAAATCATATATCCTAAAATGAAAAATATTGCTTTGGAGTCCTTTCAAGGTAAAGTATATTATCATGTAAAATATTTAAATATATTTTATTTAAGCTAGTGAGGTTTGAAAGAGTGCTAGATTTTATAACTCATATTACTGTGGTACTTCTTTCATTTTCAGTGTTATATTTCTTCATAAGTTTCATCCTTAAATAGTTCAACTGTGAGTCAAATTGTAGTCAAAATTAACAGATCTCTTTTTGATGCAGCGAACTTTTGAAGTAGGTATTGTTGAATGTAAGATACACTGCTGTGAACTGATTAGTTTCTTACTAACCTACGTGCACACTTAATTGGAGGGCACAATCCAGGGCCCCTGCTAGCCCATATGGTGCCTGTGTGCACATTAGAAACATGCCCCTTCTCCTTGGGTGGACACAGGCATACCAGGGCAGACGTGTGGGGAGCAGTTTGTTCACTGGGTGGGTTTTAGTCCCTGCTTGGCCAGGGACCAAGTAATAGCTCTGACTGTCAGTCATTTTTGTGCGTGTAACATAGTCATTCCCGAACACTCCTACACATATTCTCCCGAGTTGTCACGTGGCAGGCGCATGAGTCCGCGTACCAAGTCTGGGATTAGAGTTGATTTGGGGGGAGAGTGAGTTGGTTCCTTGTCTGTTTCAAGAGCCAGCTAGCTGGGAAGAAAATGACTCTACTGGTTACAATATCAATGTTCACAAACACACATTTTTGTTGCCTTTTACCCTTTTATGATTTATTTTTCTTTCTGGGTTGTCCTTAATACTTACTTCACCCTGATTTTCTTTGCATAAAATGGTGAGAAGTCACAGAGTATAATTTGTCCTGGTCTTCCTAATTATGGCCTGAGCTGTTGCTGTGACCTGCAGTTTTCACACTTGCTGGGTTTATTTCAGTCTGTGAATCATGGGTGCTACTGCCAGTTAGAGGTGTCGGGGGTGGCACTGTGTGGAGGCAGTGTTGCAGTTCCACTTTTCTCTGATCATATGAAATACCCTCTGAAACCTTAGGTTTGTGTAGAAATCGTTAAGGAGAATTCATGTCACTCTCAGTAAGTAGAGTCACTCCTTTGGAAGTACATTAGAACAGACTGAACACCTGTGTCAGCGCTGTCATGTCTCACCAGTGCTTGACTGTCTCCATAAAGGCATGTGCTAACCTTTACAGCTAATCCTGATTTACAACTTTGCCCCAAACCCTTCCAGATGTCTAGTCATCCACCCAAAGTCACTGTAGCCTTTGATCTTTTACTGCGGCTTGCCTCTGGTCCTTTCTGCCTTCCAGTTCCTCCTCTCTTATTTTGCATCTCTAGTGCTTCCCTATCCGTTCTCTTCCTTTCCCAGTACCTTCCTCTGTGAGACGTGAGGCAGTCCATATTTGCCTTCCCTCACTGAAATGAAAGTCTTTTCCCACTTACAAAAACTCACTTTAAAGCTTCCTCTTTCCATTGGCTTTCTTGGCCACAGAAATTTTTTACTTGTATGTGAACACATAAAGTGTCTTAAGTTACTTTTGGAACACATTTAACAACTTTTTATTTCGGTTCCCTGAGTTCCCCTTAAATTCAGACTATGGCTACCTAGTTTCAAGTTATAGTCTCCTATATAGGGGGAGAGAAACAGATCAAAATGTTTTCATCAATCATATAGATACATATATACTTATACACATATTTTGTGTTTTTATTCTTTAAAAAAGGACTTAGATTTAAGTAATTTATGACATCCAGAAATAATACAGACATTAAGGGTGATACCTGTTTTCAAAAGGAGTGACAAAGCAGTTTTCTATAGTGAAGTAAAGGCACCTGTTATTATTATAAGGATATAACTAGAGGATTGTGGGATGCTTATGATTTTTAAAAAACTTGAAGGTTTGCAAGTCCTTTGAATTAAATCAAAACTCAAAATAAAAATCTTTTTAACACAAGGATTCTAAATTAGGAACTGATGGTCTTTCAAAGAGTAGCTTTTTAATCCTCAGATAATCTTAGCTAACGTTTGTTGAGCACTTACTGCATTCCAGGGGCTGTTCTAAGTGAACTCTGCACGGTAACTAACACACTTCGTTCTCACACAGCCCCATGAGGTGTTGATACTAGCAAGTGCAAAGCTAGGATTTTAACTCGGAGCCCACAATCCTAACTACTCAACATTACTGCCTCACAAATAAGCAGTTTAACTTTTCATGTTATCTCTTTGAAGTGACTATAATCTACTAAATACATTAGTTGTATTTTGTTTTTATTTCATATTGTGAATATGTATTGCAGTACGACATAGGTGTTCATTGTATTTCTAAATGGGGGCTGCAGTGTTCTTTAGAGTCTACAAACTTAATACCACTAAAACAGTCTGGTTTTAGTCTACAAACTTAACACCACTAAAAATAGAATCGGAAGTAGAAATACCTAAAGATTAGATACCTATGATACGTTGTGAACATTTTAAGTAGATATTTCCTATTTTAAGGCAGTGATTTCACTATGGTGAGTATCATTGAAATGCCTTCCCCTGAGGCCGGCAGCGTGTGAAACTTGCCGCGGTGATTCTTCCCATGTCCCCTTCTGTGGCCTAGATCTCGTTGCTGAAACAGAACCTGGAGCTGCAGCTCTCCCAGTCTCAGACCTCTTTGCAGCAACTGCAAGCCCAGTTCACACAAGAACGACAACGACTTACACAGGAGCTTGAAGACTTAGAGGAACAACATCAGCAGAGACATAAGTCTCTAAAAGAAGCGCATGTCCTTGCATTTCAGACTATGGAAGAAGAAAAGGAAAAGGAACAAAGGGTAAGTTTAATGGGACAAACATTCCAGTGGAGCCCAGCAGCCTCATTGTGATTGATGAGCCTTCAGATTCCTAAGAAATCTTCAGCTCCCAGAAATTGCATATGGCTTTATTTCAGTGTCTCTTCCAGTATGTGATTTCCTGTAGGGGTCACAGCTACACACTATCGCAGACAAGTTAGACTAGGGCCAACATTGTATATCTGTTTTCCATTATATTGCCAAGTGTGTGATGAGACTAATAGTGCATCTGTTCTGTCATATAGTTAACGGTGATTAAATAAATTTAGCATGGTCCTACTGAGCTCTGCCCACTCTAATCACTTTATACTCTCTTGAAAGTACCATATTCTTGCATCAAATTTTTAATTTTTCTCTTTCAGGCTGGATCTACAAGAGGCATGTACCCAAAGAATTTATATATTCTTCAAACCAGATTTTTTTCTTACACTTTTTGAAAAGTGTACAAAACTCACAATGAAATTATAGACATTTTAAAATAGTGCAATCCCCTGTATACAGCCCCAAAGGCTATGTGAAAAGCGGCGATACAAACAGATCACTCAGAAGAGATTGAAATCAAATAGATGTATTATTAGGTTAATCATATGTGCCAGAATCTCCCAATATCCATTACTTAGTTCTTAGTTAGTTTGACATAGCCTTGGTGTGATTAATTTTGATATAGTTTATTTCTTAACACTGTATTTTCCAATTTCTTCTAAGGACCTTGTGGTAATTAAGATAAAGACTGATAGAAAAATACAGTTTCACTAGCAATAATTTTCAATATCTACAGCCATTGCAGATATAAGTTATTTCTTAATTCTTTATGTGGGAGCAGGCACTATTTTAAGAAGTGGTATGTTATAAAGAAATTAAAAAAAGAAAGTTCCATCCTTTTAAAGACAGTTAACTTGCCAGTACAGTCAGTTGAAGTCTCTTGCTTTGGTCAAGGAATTTCCTCTCTTTAAAAGTTAGGCCTGATTGCATTGCTAAGTAATCGATTCATTGTATACCATTTGTGAATTGGAATAACACATAAGTTCTCATGTCAGTACTTTAATTTTACACATTCAGGCTTTTTGAAACTGATTGTTTTTTAAAAGAAATCAGAATCTGCAGTTGTAATATCTGTCATTAGGTAGCCAAACTACCTAAGTAATGTCTAAACTAAAAGTCCTGTGTTTTACCTTTATTCAAAGAAGTGTATGCTTTATTTTTCAGAAATAAAACACTTTTAAAGCAGTGAACTTAAGTAGCCAAATACTAATTTTTAAAAACAGCATTTTAGAATAATGATGAAAGAAACGCTGCCCTAGTTACAACGTGGTACCTTTCTCAGAAAGCTTTCGTGTTCCGGGTTACAGCAGTCAGTCTCTAAACTTGAAGTACCTGAGTTGTTTTTCCTCCTGTGGCCATACATCTTCTTAGTCTTAGCCACATGCATCCTGTTCTCTCTGGCTAGGCTTTTAAAACTAATCACACAAAAGGCTTTAGTTTACTTTTTCCTCCTCTCAGAGCTTTTGGTTCTGATCACAAATGGAGTAAAAAAGAATGACTGCAGAAAGTAGCTACAAAGTACTTGATACGGTTGAAGTTCTAAGCACCCCCATCTCCTCTTTCCTGATAAGATCTTTTCCTATTAATGCCCTCCTCCCATCTTCCCTAAGTCTTAAGTCTGTGCACACAGAAGAATTATTCATTAATTTCAGGTGGTTCACACCTGTTAGCAGCTTTAGAAAATGGTGTTATTGAAAACTGCTTTAGGCCAAGAGTCCATATTCCAATTCAAACACCATATGTTGAGTCAAACTGGTTTTATGATGATTAGTATATTGTTCTAAGTGACTCTACTAATTTATGTCCTAATGGTGATTATCTTATATTTAATTTTCTTGTAAATGAGTTAAAATGCCTTGTTTTTTGTTAAATGAGAACTGAATTTTAGTAATTATTTTATTCTTATTTGCATTTTCCTTCCTGTATTCTAACATAACAGTTTGAATATGTTTCTCCTATCCTAGGCTCTTGAAAATCATTTACAACAAAAACATTCTGCAGAGCTTCAATCATTAAAAGATGCACACAGAGAGTCAATGGAAGGCTTCCGGATAGAAATGGAACAGGAACTTCAGACTCTTCGGTTTGAATTAGAAGATGAAGGAAAGGCTATGCTTGGTATTTTGAATGGATTATAATCTTGCCATTTTTATTTGCATATTCTTCTACTTTAAAATTTAACATGAAACCACAAAGTTTTATTTTTAAGATTTGAAATATCACAATGAATATCTAAGTGTTTTGCATATTTAATTTGAAGCTACCAGATGAGTCAAGCATGGTGGAATGGAATGGGTAGAATGTGCTGTCTCTGTATGCTGGCTGCTGAAGCCGCACTTACTGGTGCTTCCGTCTGTCACTAATCAACCGAATGGAGTCAGGACATTCAGGCTTCCAACTGTCCAGTGACGAAAGGGAAAGAGAGGCATGGAGCCACGTCCTTAGACTAGATAGTCATATTGGTTTTTTCTACTTCTGGTTTTTTTGTTTGTTTGTTTTTAATGAGAAAAGTCATGTTTAGATCTGACTTTTTGTTTAGTTATTTTTTAATGGGATTTTTATCTTCCAGGTGTTCAAATCACTACCCTTTTTATAAGGAGATGTGTTTTGAAGAAAAACCAGATATAAATAAAATATATATTAAAGGGTTTCTTGTTTGTTTGTTTTTAGTGTCAGTCAATAACTTCTTAGTCCTACCATCTCATTTTCCTTCCATTTATTTGTATAGTTTTTTTAAATTTATCTTTATTGTTGAAAGTATTACAGATGCCCCTTTTTCCC